TTCACCATGTTTAGCACAACAAAGTAATAATGAACAGCGTGGCCTTTCTCGAAAGCTGATCCCCTCCTGCTTATTTACTACAGCAGCTTCACAGTACAGATTATGCTGCTGGGTATTTGTGTTTAAACGTCTGCTCACTGAAAAGGCCTGGCATAGCATGGTGACTGTGTTTGACAAAGCTGCTGTAGTGAAAGATCTGCCTCCATCGCCTCCCACACTCACTAAACACCTGCACACCGACAAATAAATCCTGAGAGCTCGCTTTGTAAGAGAAGTAAGTAACTGTACCTTCATGTGTATGAACGGCAATTACCTTCCCCTCTGATGCTTCCATTCCTAATTAAAGTTGCTAATGCTGCTGCCTCAGCTTTGACTGCTGCCAGAGGCAAACAAGCTGCCACTCCTGCCCTCTAAACCACCACAGGGTTCTCTAATGACAGGGAACTGACACCACAGCCAAGCATGCCCTGCAAAGACGATACCTGCATCTCCTAGGCTTCTTCAGAAAAGCTGGCTCGAATCACGTCAGCCTACTCCAGCTTACATGGGAGGTCATTTCTGTCAGCATCTAACAGTTTAGGAAGAAAAGAGGGATTTGTGTGAGCAGAGGCAGCTCCTTGAGACCACTGAGAGGAGAGGAGGGAGTCTCACGAGTGACAGATGGAGAAAGAAAGCAGAGGGGGAGCTGTAGTCATGAATCACTGTAAGGGTATTTCACCAGCTGGTTGCAAAGATAGTCAGACTGCACGAATCAGGGGAAAATCTAAGAAGGAAATGAGAGCAACTGTGCAATGCTGCAGCTCGGTACCAGTGGCAAGTTAAGGAGAGCTACAACCTGGGAGTTGTATTTAACTGCTGTGGATGAAGACAGTAAATTCAAGTTCCATACTCCACGGACCTGCCCAAGTACTCCTGTGGTTTTGCTGGGGACTTGAGCTGCTGAAAAGATGACTGAAATAGGGAAACGTGTTTCTGGAGATGAGGATGACTGAGGGATGAAATGAACAGGAAAAACCAGGATGTGGGTGGGGGTTAAGCTCCATCTTGAAAGCAAAGGAGATGCTAGGCCAGAGAAACCTTTCCTTTTCCTGAAATGACCTCAGCTCTTCTTCTCAAGGTTATAATGGGTCAATCTCTTCTAGCTAAACATGCTGGTGATTTTTCTTCCTTATGAAACTCCCTTTATGTCCTCTTTTAGGCAGTTGTCTTCTGAGAAGAGCAGCAATATGGTTTGCTCATGCCAGTCTCCATTTCACTGTACTCAGCAAATATGAACAGGAAGGACTCAGTCATCAGCAAAGACTCCACAGCGGATGGCTCATATTTATATTAATAAGGTGAGATCCTAAATGCAAGAAACAGAGACCGTTCAAGATATAAGGCAAAGATCCTTCCCAAGTTTAAATCTCCTCAGCCACATTTACAAAGTGCTAACGAAAGGCTGAGGTTGGGCCAGTGCATTTAGAACCCGCATGACCATGACAGGTAAATGCGGATAGGTTTGCCTTGGAATATGCCAGACTGAGGTTCAGTTCCTGAAGCACCAAATGTTTTTTCCCTGAAATGTTTGACTAGAAAAGCATTTTTTTTCCATGCTTTTATGCTAGCACTAGCTGTTTGCACACATATTCTCTTTGTAGCTTTCCTGGCAGGGTGCAAACAGGGGCAAATCTGTTGCCCACAGTCCAGCCCACCCAGCAAGACTAAATGTTGGTCAGACATAGGAGGAGACTGAGGTGGAAGCATTCCTCCCACACGCACACGGACACCACGGAGCAGCCACACGGCCACTGTGCAGAGCGGCTTCAGAGACCTCCCTGGGCACCCTTGTGGTACGCCACGGATGTCAGCAGACAAACAAGGAGCAGCTATGCACATCTTCCCATGGGACATTGGTTTCCCTCCTGTACACTCTGTTCCCTGTACTGCAGTGATTGCCCTCCTTCTGTGGCAGCCCTTTGAGATGCAACAGTGCCACGTATGATAAAAAGGGAGCCTCTGTTGGTTTGCAAAAAGGGTAACAAATCAAATCATAGTAGTACATGTATTACAACATCCTTTTACAGTTACCTTTACAGTTCCACTCCTAAGACTGCCTGTGAGAGCAACCCGGGACTGTGCAGGAGTTTTTGTCAGAATGAATGTTAGACAATACCAGGAAACTGAAGAATTTTATATGGAACTTAGCCTCATTTTAGTCCCTGAAGTAAGGTGAAAATCTTCAAGCATGGCAATATGTAATGCAGATATCCCAACAGCAACTTTTCTGATTTCTAGCACACACCAGTGCTGCACACTGGGAATTCTGGGGCAGCTTTAGGCAAAGCAGAAATGGAGATTTTGTTTCAGTGAACAAACTCTGAATATGAACAAGCACAGCAGCTCTTCCTGGAGCTGTTCTGATAGTCAGTCCCAATCATTTTTATTTTGTTACTGCACTTCATACAACAAACATCCCTTGATTTCTCATATGGATGCTTTCTTGCAGCATCACAAAAAATGATGAGTAGCAGCTGGGGATTTGGGGAAAGCAGGAAGGATTCTCTATCACTATGATGGCTCTTACTGAAATGATCAATTAGTAAATGTGACACTTAACTGGCCCTCAGAAGGTTTCAGAATTAACATTCCATGAAAGTAAATGGGAAGCAGTTATCACTTCTTGGTCTTAATGTTTCAAATTGCCTTATGTTTTAAATAGTTTTGAGGGAGGTCAACCAGACTGAGTCAATCCACAGCTACTCAAGATGCTATAGGAACAAAAACACATTAATTATCTTTAGAAGTGGTCTACCTTACAGCAGATTCATTCTTACACCAGTCAAGAGCCAACTTTCTCACGCTCTCAGGTGCTTGCCCTTCAAGGCTTCTCATGCACATGTGCACCTCATACTTACAGCACCCAGGTACACTACAACAACTGGTGGGAGTTAAAAAAGAATCACCCCCTTCCCAGACAACCTCAAGAACATGTCTGTTCAAACATTTGAAGAAAAGAAAACTGATGGTACTTACCTCCGATGCCATTACAGCGAGATGTCATTTCCCAGAGGACCAAAGCCATGGAGTACACATCTGTTTGCTTGAAGGACTCCACGTTCTCCAGGTTCATCCTGGACTCCAGAACCTCAGGGGCCATGTACCTTGCTGTGCCAACCTAGAGGAGAGGAGATCGGAGAGAGCTCACGAGCTGCAATTGTAATTCGTGTTTTGGATTCTGCTGCGATTTACCTTCAGCTTTTTCAGAAGCAGTGCCATTTGATAAGCATCCAAAAAATTCAGGCCACACTTGGCACAGGTCGTATTTTCTGCTGCCAGGGGAATCTGGCATTGTCCTGACTACCAACTTACTTGCACCTCCCTTGGTAAAGAAAAATAAAAAAAGAAGCCCTTTTTAGTTCCTTAAGCAAATAATTTTGACACTAACAAGCTTTCTCACTCTGACTGCTCACAGATAAACTCTGCCCTTCGGGTCTGAAGGAATTGCTACTGACGGAGTCTTTCAGATGAGCAAGAAACACAATTGTATTCTTTTGCGTTACATATTACAGTGTTAGGTGCTTCTTTTCTTGGTAGCCTTAGAAGGAAAGTGCTAAATGCAGGCCTGGCAGAAGAAAGTAAATACACAAATACTAAATGCAAAAGCACACATTTGAATCCAAACCAAAAATTGGCTCCTTTGTCTGAAAAGCCATTCTCACAAACTTCATTCACACTGAGCAGTTTTCAGCAAGGATTTTAGCACCTTTGCTGTGATCTAGATTATGACCTTGCATTACAGAAGGCAAAGTTTAAATATTTGGTTTTATCACAAGAAAGTATTTAAGGAAGAAGTTCGGGATCACTCAGCAGTTTCTCTCAAATGACAAGCTCTTCACAGGATAGGTATAAAAAACTTATCCCCCTTGAAAAACCACAAACCTAGTAAGTCTTTGATCAGGCGAAGACAGTTTCAAATTGGAGACTGGTTCATCACAGAGATGAAGAAGCACAAGTGGGTGATGCAGTAGGACCTGTGATTCAAATGAGCTATTTGTAGACTGCACTAGGACAATCATTCTAGAGACCAGCAGCGGGACTGCGAAAGATCGTTTCAGTTACTGGGTCTGCAGTTGCAGGCAGCCACATAATAAATGTACAGTTCCTAAGAGAGCCCTAAGACATCCATTTTACAAGCTTCTGTAAACACGTCTTATCACCCCAGGCTCAGAACAAATGGGAAGAAGTTCCACAAAACTGCAGTGCACCGTAAGAAGACAGCAGGGAAGATCAAGGCCATAGCTTTGTCATAGGACCCTGCAGCGGCAAAGAATTTCTGTGTCAAAAATATCCAAATGGTTGTAGAATCAAAGCCTTCATAAACAGAGGACAGAAAAAAACCCTGCATGATCAGTTCCAAAGTTAAGTTCCCTGTTATGTGGACTCTGTGATGAATTTAAGGCCAAGCATGTAAGCATGCAAATGGGTACTTGGGACAATCCTGTGACAGCATCACCGAGTTGACCAGCATCTCCCTCCTCTACAGAACAAGAACTTAAGGAAACTCTGCAGCAGAGGCTGTTTATAGCTCCCAGTCCATTCCCCAACAGCTCTGGCAGGGAGGCTGGACTAGATTATCTTTTGAAGTTCCTTCCAACCCCTAACATTCTGTGATTCTGTGAACTTCTTCCCTAAGCAGACCCCATCCAAAGCTTAAGAAGGGTTACCTGTACACTATGGCCCACAGTCCACATCCCCAAATCCTGCTGGTTTTAATCAGTTAACAGTGCTGAAATACAGATTCTTAACAGTGTCGCAAAGTGCTGTTCTGCCCTGGCATTTCTCATTTTCTATGCAGCAGTGAAAATTATTCTGCAGCTTTGCTGGACAATGGATGATCAAGCCCTATAACTAAAAAGCACAGTGGGAAATGCAGAGAAAATTTAAAATTACTTGAAGAGTGGTATTAAATAAATCCTGTTTCCATCTGCTTAGAATTTATCACATGTTCCACTTTGCTTGTGTCCTCTTATCTCTGTTTAGATTATTAGGTCTTTGGGTCAAAGATACTTTGCCTATATCTTGAAGAAATCTGAGCACTGAGTCTCAAAGGCATTTTAAGTATCCAACTCCAGCAACTGCCCCTCCGCAGTCTGGATATGCTTTCTCTTTGCAAAGACAAGTCTGGTTTCAGTTCTTGCCTCTTGTCTTTAGTAACAGAAACATACTGAGGAAAGCCAGTCCTCCAAGCCAAGAGTTGGGGGCCAGGAGCAAAATGTCCCCCCCACAATCTAGGAGATGATCAGTGACCTGCTGCTCAACATTGATGTGCACAAATCTATGAGGCTGGATCAGGTTCATCCTAGAGTGCTGAGAGAGCTGGCAGGGGGGCTCACCAAGCCACTGTCCATCATTTATTGGCAGTCCTGGCTGACTGGGGAGGTTGCAGCTGATTGGATGTCAGCCAATATAACACTCATCTATAAGAAGAGACAGAAGGCTGATCCGGGAAATTACAGTTTGACTTCAGTGCCAGGGAAGCTGATAGCTCAGTCAGTTGAGCATGGTACAGATAATACCACGGTCGCGGGTTTGATTCCTGTTTGGTCCCCATGTGTTGCCTGATCTAGTTGAGAGGTGGCGTCCCTGCCCATGACAGGGAGGTTGGATTAAATGATCTCTAAGGTCCCTTCCAGCCTAGGCCATTCTATGATTCTATGATCCTGAGTTCCATTATGCAGCACATGCACGACAACCAGGTGATCAGGCTCAGTCAGCATACGTTTATGAAGGGCAGCTCCTATTTAATAAACCTGATCTCCTTCTATGACAGGGTGACCTACTTGTTGCGTGAAGGAAAGGCTGTGGATGCTGTTTACCTTGACTTCAGTAAGGCATTCAACACTGTTGCCCACAGAATTCTCCCAGAGAAAGTGACTGCTCTTGACTAGAATGGGCATACGCTTTGCTGGGTGGAAAACTGGTTAGATGGCTGAGTCCAAATAGTCATGGTCAGTGGACTTAAATCCAGTTGGCAGCCGGTCACAAGTGGTGTCCTGCTGTGCTGAGGACTTGGCCCAGTCCTGCTTAACATTTTCATCAATGATTTGGACGAGGGGATAGCATGCACCCTTATTTAATTTTCAGATGACACCAAGCTGGGTGGAAATGTTGATCTACTTGAGGGTAGGGAGGCTCTACAGAGGGATCTGGACAGGCTGGATCGCTGGGCAGAGGCCAATCCCATCAGTTTCACTAAGGCCAAATGCCGGGCCCTGCACTTCAGCCACAACAACCCCCAGCAGCGCTACAGGCTTGGGGAGGAGTGGCTGGAGAGCTACCAGGTGGAGAGGGACCTGAGGGTGTTGATGACATCTTGGCCTGTATCAGGAATGGTGCTGTCAGCAGGAGCAGGGAGGTGACCATGCCCCTGTACTCGGCTTTGGTGAGGCCTCACTTTGAGTACTGTGTCCAGTTTTGGGCCCTTCACTACCAGAGGGACACTGAGGTGCTGGAGAGGGTACAGAGGTGGGTACCAAGCTGGTAAAGGGCTTAGAACATAAGCCTTAAGAGGAAAGGCTGAGGGATGGGGGACTGTTTAGCCTAGAGAAGAGGAGACTGAGGGGAAATCTTATCACTCTCTACAATTCCCTGAAAGGGAGTCTGTTCTCCCTAGTGGTGAGTGATAGGATGAGGGGAAATGGCCTTAAGTTGTGCCAGGGGAGGTCCAGGTTGGATATTAGGAAGAATTTCTTTACTGAACGGGTTGTCAGGCATTGGAACAGGCTGCCCAGGGGAGGGGGTGAGGCGGCCCCCCTGGAGGGGCCTGGAGGTGTTTAAGAGACAGGTAGATGTTGTGCTGAGGGACATGGTTTAGTGGTGTTGATAGGGCTGAGACAAAGGCTGGACTCGATTATCTTGAAGGTCTGTTCCAACTGAAACTGTTGTATGATTCTATGGTTCTCCAAAACTTCTAGCAAGGGACCATATCTCTTCCTGTGGTACATTATAGGTTTTGTGACTTTTGGATCTGCTTTACTGGAGACTTTACATCTTTTTCAAGGCATTGAGGGATGTTTTGTGCCCTGAGGTGTGTCAGTCAGAGGGGCAGTAGATATCCCTCTTCAGTTGATTAGGGAGACCGTCTGTTACAGGGTTGCTGATGTTGCAGAGGTGAGGAACTGCTGGCCCAGTTGGCACCTACCAATCCTTTGAACACAATAGGACAAAGTTCCAGATTTACGTACTCAGAATAAGTCAAGTCTGCAAATATTAACCATCGTGGGTGGCCAAACTGAGAAAACTGCAAAGGTCCTAATGGGGAAAAAGTTTGTTTACAGGCAGTCACTAAGGGTACTGGTACTGGAAATTAGCTGGGTAGATGGGAAAGAAGATGGCTTTTTACTCCAACAGCTTGCCTTGAATATGACTAAGTCCGACCAGAAAAAACAGTAAAATACTTGCACTCATTAATTTCATAGGAAGCGAGATTTGAGATTTGGGTCAGCTCCATTATATACCTTCAAAGATTGGGTTGCCTGGTAGGAAAAGTTCGAGTCAAACGGTAAAGTTTAGAAATTACGCATAAGGCGAATTCTGGTGCAGAAGCTCTTTAGCAAAAGCTGCAGTACTGAGGTTGGCATGTTGCGGAATTTGAGTGGGTGGTGGAGGCTGAAGTGGAGCCACTTCACAAGGCCTTACTCCTCTCCACAGAGAAGAACGACACCACCTGGGTCACCCACAAACAGATTCAGCGAAGCTACACAAAGTAGATGGCCTCAACACCAGTGCCCAAGGATGCTGATTCCAAAGCAGAAACCTGCTCTGGGCAGCACTGTACTTTGTCGTCAGTGTCAGTGTGGGCTGTGGAAGTGGCATCATCAACGCTACCCTTCTACTTCCAAGTGCGTGTGAGCAATGCCAGAGAAATCAGCTTGAAATTGGCTTTAAGGAAAGTGTCTGGGGGGCTGAGTTTCAGAGCCTCTGTGTTTCACTTTATTCCAAATAGAACCAGTCTTATGACTTACAACATGGTACAATTTCCCTGAACTCCAAAAAGGGCCAGCATGCTGGAGAGGAATGTATGCAACTGTGAGTGGTATTTGTATTACTTTAAATACAGTTTCCTTGGTTATTATTGCTCCTGGTGCTGGTTTATAAACCCTCTCAAAATGAGATCAAGACAGTTGTCTCTCAGCAAAGGCACTTTCAGAAAAAAGATCTTCATTAGATAAACAACAGCAAAGCTCCTGTGAACTCAACAGAGCACTACTGACTGAAGAACTGTCCCTGAAAACATTCTAAACTGAAATATTAGTTCTGTGTGAAGTAAAAGTCAGTGTAAACAGGTAGTCTTTGATGAGACCTATGCATAAGAATACAAATATAAAAATACATGTATAATTAAATAATTATGAAATAACTAACTTGAACGATCTGAATTTATACATGAGATTTCAATAAAAGAGCCAATATTTAAAAGTTGACTTGAAAAATTTAATCTTCAAAGTATTTATAAACATCCTCCTGGTATCCTTGTGAAGTAGGTGAGCATTATCCATGTTATTCAGTTGAAAAAGCAGTAACAGGACAATTATTTTTAACTGAGGTTCTTGCAACGGCTTGCATTTGGAGAAAATGCCATAATCTTAAACAAGCGTGGGGTTTGGTTTTTTCCTTTTAAAGTTATTATCTATCACTCTAGTCATCTGCTTATGTTTCTCAAAGATAGAAGACTGACTTCACATACGCTGGGGTCCACCAGGAGTGAGCCTCCTCACATAAAACTGTAATGGCATCAGGCATGAAAATTGTGCCACAATCTCACAAAGTGAAGCACATCCTTATTATATGTGTGTGTGCGCATTGCAGGAGCAGCACAAGCAGCAGCTAACAAGCTCATACACACTTGGCGTAAGTGTATAAAGAGGACAGCTGCATCATATACATGTGCATCTCTCTGATCGTAAAAAAACCTTAATTGCACATTTCTTACTATTTCTTTAACAGTTAGAGTCTCTTTTTTTATTACTATCACTTTAATTTTTTTAGACTTTAAGTAAATACGGCAACATAGAATTCTTCCACTTCTCACCTCAGAACCTGACACACCAACTGGTGGTCAACACCCCTCCTCCTCTTCAAAGTCCAACTTACCTGCCCACTGTTAGCCAAGTCATCCACAGACAGAGAAGGGTCCAGTCTCAGGGATAACCCAAAGTCACAGAGACAGCAGGTTAAATCATTTTTCACCAGGATGTTGGAACTCTTTAGGTCTCTGTGCACAATGGGTGTTTTGGGGCGACCACAGGGTGTGTGATCACTATGCAGATGGGCAATCCCTCGGGCCAAGGACCCACCCAGTTTCCAGAGGTCCTCCCAGCTGATAATGTGCCGTGTGAGATATTCCTGCAAATTGCCTCTAGCATGGAAGGCGGTGATTAACCAATACTGTTTACCAAGATCTGTCTTACGCTCCTCTGCTGTCAAGAATTGGAGGATGTTCTCATGCTTGAGGTTTACGTCTGAAAAAATGTCTTTCTCAGTTTTCCAAGAGGCATATTCTTCATAGGGGAAGATCTTGACTGCCACAGTTTCATACTGCTCTGAAGTGTTTTGTTTCAATTTGGCTTTATACACTTCAGCAAACCTTCCTTTGCCAACGACAACGTCCAATTCAATGGGCAGCAATTCTGTGTTGTGGTTGATGTTGTTAGCACAGGTAGAGCTGATGTCTGAGCGGTCATCATCTAACATAATGGCACAAACATCACTGCAATCCTTATGTTTCCTAGGCTTAACATTCTTCTCCCATGCCTTGTTGAGTTTCCTCTTCTTATGAGTACGGTAGGCATAAAAGATAACAATCACGGCAACAGAAATCACCAGTAATGGGACAAGACTTATGATTGTGACTTTCGAAATTTCATCTTTCTCCTCTGGCTTATGGGGGTCATCTGGAAAGAAGACCAGAAAGAGGGCATACATTAAGTGACATCACAGCTTTATGTACAGGAAGCTGTCAATAATTATAATTTTTTGTCCAGAGTGCAATACATTATTTCCTCCACTGGCAGTAAGTAATAAAAACGATCACTACTTTCTTAACCTCAAAATGTTGCTTTCTATGTAGGCCTCTACTTACCCCGACTTCCCTGTCTGCTTATAAAAAGTTGGAACTGAGTGAGCAAGAACCTAGTGTAATTTAATAGCTCTAATCTTCTCTCAGGCTCTTAATACATTACGGATGAAGCTTTGCTACCCTGAAGACAATAGCCAAAGTCTCCCGCTCTTACTCTGATGATGCATTCTTAACAGATTGGCCCCGTGAACCAGTAATTACTAGAGCATATTTATTTGTCTTATAATCAGATTTATAAATAAATAGACAATGCAGCATGTGAATTCCAACTTGCCCAGTTATCACTCCAGATCCAGTATATCTCAGTGGGATCCGTATAAGGACACCTTCAGTAAGCCTGTCTGCATGCAGCTACTGCAGACTACTATTCAGGCATGCTATGCATGCCTTCACACACATCTGAAAAACAAAACTCCTCATACTTTGATGTATGGGAAAGAAAAAAATTCAAACACCTATGTGTACACAGGTGTTTGAATCCTGCAGGCACAATCAGGCATGCATGACACATCAGAATTGCCACCCTCCCATGTACATTTTGCACGGATTTATGCATCTGAAAACTTCCTCTGTGTGTCACCTGCCGGCTGTACACTTGCTGTCCTGTTGTAAAGCAGCGTTTGGTTCACTCCAAACTCCGTAGCTGGTGCAGTCCACACACTAACACATTGTTAGATGGAATAGATAGGATGTAGAAGCACAAGGACATATTCTAGAATAGGGAGATGTTCTGGGAATAGCACAGCTCATTATTCTAGAGGTGAGAGCTGCCCTGTCATCCCTAGTTCACTAGAAGTGACCATCTAGTTCAGTATTTCTTAGGGAAGATAAAGAGTTTAAAGAGAACAGTTTTATTCTGAAAACAGATTAAAGAAGGAGGGTCAGAGTTTAACTGAACCTGATTTGATTGGACACATGGAAATTCCTTCCTTTGAGTCAGAGCAAATGTACTGCATTATCTTTCCATGAGGGAGGGGATTGACTGGAAGAAGCCCTGAATGGACTAAAACAACTGAAGCTGCAACCAGAGTTAAGCAAGTGGCTTGTGTTGACAGGATGATGCTTTGACGGATGCTTGAGTTAGAACAAGCAGTACTTTTGACCCTTCAATTTAACCTGTAATCACCTTTCCATTGGAAACACAGTTAGCTGGCAAGCAGCAGGAGCCATCAAGCTATTCAAAGGCAAGTGATGGGACATCTAAAGAGTACATTCTTCTTTATTCGGAAGAAGGCCTGAATCCTGAACCAGGATGTGCTTCCTCTGCTTGAAAGGTTCATCAACCAGATGTAGAACAATTCCAGCCTCTTGCCTAGGGTTTTAAGGAAGAGGAAGAGCCTTTCTAGCACTGACAATCCAGGCTAGCACAGGGCAGTGGCATTCACTAGCAGCATCTACGAGGAATGAATTGCCTTCATTTATGCAAAATGAAGGAAATCCCTTTTGAGCCCATCCTTTCTTCTACACCTATGCAAACCACAGACCCTTATTCTTAAGTGATTTTCCCTGGCAACAAAACGTTAATAATTTTTGATTTGTTTTTCAAAATTTTAAATTAAAACAAAATCCTTTCAAGTTAATCACAGATTACAGGCACCCCTTCTGCTTCTCAACATGCTGAACAAAGAGGAAAAAACCCCAAACCTGGCCCTAAATGGAGGAATATATCTAGAAAGTCCAATATCAGTGTCAGTAAACAGAAGATTTGCATTGCTTATTCCCACGTGTATTCTTCGCTCTCAGAAAATCTGCTTTATAAAAACTTGGGAATTGTCTAGATGGAAGAGACCTGACTACATTGTGGGATGGCTGTTTTGGAGTTTTGGCTGCAAGCAGGCCACAACTGCATGAGCATAACCATGATATGTAACAATCAGATAAAATAGTCTTAATGAACATTTGGGATTCTGTTCTGCTTTTTTTCTTGGTCATAGAAAAGTGTGCTTGAAGTTTGGAACCGAGTAATATATCACCTACATCATACTTTTTAACAAATGTGAATATGCCTCTTTAGGGAGCTTTAAGCCCTTTTTGTTTGCCACAGAGCTGCAGAATGTAGCCTAGATATCTGAAATACAAATGTATTCCTAACTGAGGGACAAAAACCTCAAGATGTATTACTTCTCTTTCAAATTCCTCCCCATGAGTCCTGGCAGTTAGGGGTAGCTGGGTGCACATTCAGCTCTGAGAAGAAACCCAAAGCCACTGCTCCTTGACTGTTACGGATACCTCTTTGAGGGTCTCTGATCATTCCTATAATGCCCTAGATCAGGCTGTCTTATTTTGTTTCCAGCAGACTTCACAGCCCCTTTGGCTCTTCCTCTTTTTGCACCAGAGAAAGCTCTGCTTGTGGCGCAGGGGGATTTCTGAGTGGAAGGGAGAAACTGTTGATGTTGCAACTGTCACTTGAAAAAGAATGAGGAAAAAAAAAATCAAAGCAGAAGCTGAGCAGCTTGGCCACTTCCCCTGAGAACTGTATCATCCTGCACCCCTGCTGCAAAGTCACACATCCTCTTTGGCATCGTCCCTTGGAGGAAGCAGGGAGCCAGAGGGTGAAAAGCATACAGCTGCACATCCCTACCTAAAGCAACAAGGATGAAGGGCGTGCTCTTTTTCAGTTTATAAGACACTAGACAGGCCCCACTCAAGGCTTGGAAAGGGCAAGAATGGGCATTCAAGAGGGAGAACAGAGTGTCAGGACTGACAAGGCTGAACTCTGAGCTTAGGAGGAGACTGAGCTACCTGTCAGCAGAATTAAAGGGGACAGAAGCAGCAAAGAGCTGGTCTGGTCCAAGTAAGGCAATTCTGCACTGTCTTTGATTTTGACTGCTGATATAAGCAGAACAAAATCAGCCCTTCCAGCACAAGCTAAGGTTGGGGTTCCTCTCTGTTTGAATATGTGTACAAAGTCAGGGCAGAATCAAAATTCAAAGCATATCTGTATGTTTGCTTAGTGGCTAGCCAACATTTTATGGCTTGACTACAGGAATCTAAGAATAAATATGTACATTTTCTTATAAATAATTACCTATGACTCAAACTCCATAATTTCAAAAATGGGAGTGCAGTGTCCTCATTCTGAGCACCAGAATAAGCAAAACCTGCACAGGCAGACTAGGAACTGGTTAAATGAAAAAGCCTTTCAGGTTTTGCAAACATGCCCCTAAATAACTTTCCTCACTCAGAGCTATTATTTAGGCAGATCAGTACTTTCTTAAGCTTCAAAAGAGCCTATTAATATAGCATAACAATAGAGAATTTGAGCTAAAAGAAAGCTTCCTGTATGTGGTTTAAACTAAGCACAAGCCATCTGCACAACCCTTAGCACTACCTAAGCCTTCAGGGAATAGGGCTCAGGTGCCAAGGAAAATGGAAACACTGTACAGCCCCTGTTCAGTCAGGAAGCTCCAAAGAACAACATTGCTTTGCTTGCAAATGTTTTAGGTTGGATTCGGTGCCTTTGATTGAACTTCAGTGTCACTGAACTTTGGAAACAAGAAATAAAACAACAGCAGAAAAATTAGGACCTGCATTTGAATGCACAGGGCAGCAAACAAAGCACAGCCAGTACTGATGAACTACTTCAGCGCTCTTTGCTGTTTGTGCAAGTTCTAACGTTGCTCTCTGTTCATCTGGTAGTCAAAGCCACAACAGCAGGGCAAGAATATATTTGATACTGGTAGAATTCAGGTTAAGTGTGTCAACGCTAATGTATTGCAAGCTCGTCTAGCATCTTAAAGCCCCCCAGAAATGCAGTCACAAAATATGGGCCCAGACCTGGGACTGTGATCTAGTTATTTTGCAAGCTCCTGAGACACAAAGCAGCCTTTTTTGCTGCCTGGAGGACAACTCTGTTTTACAGCAGCTCTGAGGTTTCAAAGTTTGATTTCAGTTCTACACCGGAATGAAAACTAACACTTTTTGCATGCTTTTGCATAAACAGAATTCTGTTCAAATGTTGCACTTTGGCAAGAGATGCGAGTGCTGAATCCCTACCAGTGAGGGGACTAATCTGGCATATGGGCACTCCAAGCTCAAGTCCTGGTCTGTTTGATTCAGGGAAGAGCTTTTCATCTCTTATTATTGTGAATCAGGCAAAATGTGAGTTTGAACCTTATGTGCATACTCATTTCTGGGCAAGACACTAGGCAATAAAATACGGAAAAGTCTGCCCATCTCTTTAGTGTTACTTTCTGGATGAAAACTGATTCCATGAAATGCTTCATTTTCAGTGAAATGAAGTTTAACTCAGAGTAGCGGTTTGGGATAATTTAGTTTGTCTCCAATGAAGAATCCTCAAGTGACAATGAAATTCTGTAGTTCCGTGTCTCATGTACCTTCCTGATTTTGGTCATCTTAGAATTAAAATGGCTTGGAAATTTCAGCTTTGCCAAAATATTTTTAGATGTGAAATGTTGAGTTTCAAAACAGAAACTCTGGTTGTGACATTCCTGCACTTTTCCCTGAAACCCTTGAGGACAAAAGTGATCTGAAAGTTGATCCAACTTTTGTGTTTAAAAACTTCTGCTAATTTTACAGGCATTGTTTTTTGACCTTTGAGGTGGGGGAGGGGGGGGGAGCTTTTTCTTTAGCAAAATGGTTGATCCTGACACAAAATACTTGGAAATAATCAAATTCAAATGCTGCATCTCAAACTAACCTGCATTTTTTTATCTCGACAGTTTCTTGGAAGCATTTTAATTTTCCATCTTTGCTGGAGATTTAGTGGTTTTTTTTCAACTTAATAGTTTTGTGGAGCAGGAAATCAGTTCCACCCCTCTCTCTGCTCTATGCTAAACCAGCTGATGGCAGAAG